AAAAATCCAGTTCCGATCAGATGTCCAGTTGCTGGTAAATTTAATTTTACACAAAGAGGTGACGTACCATTCGAAACGCGAATATTAGGCGGTGTAACGGATTCTCCACGTCCAAATCTTTATTGTAAAGAAAAGATATCGGATTTATCAGTTTGCGATACGGATCAAAAAGAAATGGCCATTGATGTAACATTTTGTTTGAGCGTCGATCATTTGGGAGCTCCCGTCGATATTTACAGTTAATAAATTAATTTTTCACAAAGTACTTCCCCGCCCGCCCTCCTCCCCCCTCCCAGCATCACGCTAAACTTCCGTATTTATTTTTTAATCAGGTGATCCCGATTACAAATTAAAATGCATCGGATTTTGGAAAGAAAATTTAAAATCTTATTTGATAACCTACGACGAATTGGATGCTTTCAGCAAGTACAGATGTTGGGTCTATCAAAGAGCGGATTTAAATAGAGTTTTAATGTCGGAATCCATCGGAACTTATTGCCATCTTAAACAGGATGTGACGTCATGGAATTACACCGAGGGTGCTGCCGTTGCCATCGAAATGCAAGAATACGAAAGAGAAAGTAAGGGAAATTAATTAAAACGTTGACGCACACGTGTACGAATTTCCCCTCCCCCCACCTTCACGTTTTTCCGTTACTTTTTTCAGGAGATCAGTGTCCGATGCATTTCGACGACGGAACGAATCCTTGGTTGCTGTCGGAAAACACTTTGAAAATATTTTCCTGGGATGGTTACGGAGCCGCTCACAAAACGGAAATAAAAACTTAAAACTTTAAACTTCACAAACTGAAAAAAATTTTTTTAATAAGTTATTTACGAATAAGTTTTAATGATTATAGTCACAAGTTTATGTTTATGCAACAATTACCATTGTACCTACTCTACCGATTATAAAAAATATAATTTAATATATTATTAATATATCTACATTGTAAAAAGACTACAATAGTTTAATTTTTTTAAAATTTACCTTACTCTCTACTTAAATTAGTGTAATGCTGTAAAAATACAATTATATAAACTAAACAAATCAAATTCGAAAAATTTAATTAGTTTCGAAAATATTTTTAACGATAAATTTTTTTTTCGATTATTTTCAACTTTAGTAAATTTTCAAAAGTTTAATTAAACCTTTTTTTTTTTTTTTTTTCTTTTAACTTTTGAATACATTTATTGATATAAATGAATGTGTCAAAAACAATTACTGAATGTAAAAGAAGAACCTCACAATGAATAATGAAGTATTGATTACTTAATAGATATTTTATCATTTAAATCTAAGGGGAATAAGTAACGTTTTTTTTTTTTTTTATCATCATCATCAGTGTAACGTTCGTGACGAAATAAAATAAAAAAAAATTTTAATTTAGACGTTTATGTTTAAATTGTAAAACGTTAAAGTGCTTAAATTGCCAGTACGCGATTTGATTTTTAAACAGT